AAAAAAACCCCCTTTTCATCCTCTTGAACATTCCCCTTAACACCACTTCTACTGCAAGTGTGCTATTCCAATGGTAAGTGATTCGAGTCTGCCACCATTTCGCTTTAGCTCAACAAAAAATGCATTGAGTCTATTACTTTTGCCTATTTATTAACCGCGTTTGCGACAGCATCCGTGACGTTTCGCAGAATAAGAGATTTTTTACGGACGCGGAGTGTTGTTTATTTAAATGCTTTGCATCTTAGGAAATGCGATTCAAATCCAACAGGTAATAACAACTTACTAGAATATTATTCATGCGAGGCATTAAAACTTATTTGGTACAAATACATGTCATTTTAAATTATTTCTGACCTCTGATGGTATCAATTCTGCTTCGAAACTATATCTATGATATAGGAACATAAACGCGTAAGTTAAATACATACATAAAATGATTGAATCTAACTGTACTGGTTTTCTGAACTGTTATTGCCGCGATTATGAATTAATGATATATTCCTCCTTATGCCCCTCCCGCTGTTTACATGCACTCATCACTTTTGTTCGTTGCCGTGCTGGATGCATTACCGATGATCCTAGGTGGCTGTTGGGAGATTCGTTCAGTGAATGTCTCTCTTTTGTTGGTCTTTCTTCAAATTTATTTCTGTGACGTAATAATTAAAGTGAAACCACCCAATCACAGCTTTGCTGCCTAGAAACTGCCTTGCTTTTAACAAATTATTATTAGACTTTTAGTCTGTGCAGCAGATATTGTTAAACTGGTTGCATCACAGTTTGTAAGCGTGGAAATAATTTTCATAGAAATGTAGGTGATTTAAATTTATGATTATTGGATACGACTGTTTCCATTCAGACAGAAAATAGAAGAAAAAGATTTTAAACAGCAAGGTATTTGTTTACAGTAGAATGTACATTATTTTTAGCGTGTGTATTACAATACATTTTAATATTACAATTATTACATTTAACATTTTATCTAAAACGTTATTGGTAAAGTGTGTTCAATGTATATATACTAAAATCTAAAAAGTAAAATTGATACGTTTTAAGTGCAAGTGTACCACGTAAATAAACTTAAATGGATGCTGACAAATGAAATAATTTAATAGAAATAGATAAACTTTATAAAATATGATAAACAAGATCGACAAGGAAAGGCGGCATTCAATGAACGCAGCCCCCACCCGACCCAACAACAAGCGCCAGCGGCAAGGAGCCCAAATAAAAACTTATCTAGTGTAGATAGGACTTTATTGATTATAAAGATATATCCTTTGATATTAGTATGTTAAACATTTGCTTAATTTAGTATCTTTACATGCAGTTATATGAATTCAAGCACTGTCTATTCAGACGTGTCACTGTGTAATACACCTGACCGAATAAAAGGTATTTTTAAAGGGTCGGAGTACCGGGCATACATTATACTGTACGATATAATCACATTAATAGTGCAAAAGGACCACAAAAAAATGAAAAGCGTGTCACCGCATTTTGCTTATTTCTGGCCAATAATTGTACAAAAAAGCTGATTTCCGATTTGATTCGCAGTACATTTCTTTATTATTATTTGCATATATTTTCCGTTTTAAATACTTCACATCAATTCAGTTAGATTTTGAAATTTTATGTTTGTATGAATTTGAATCTCAGCGTAGTGAATCCCCTTTAATTATTAACTAAAGAACCTACATTTGTTTAAGATATTTCCATATCTGTCTTTATTTTATTTGTATCATCTGTAAATTATGATACAAAATATAGTTCTTCACTTCTTGTTGTTACATAATCATAGTGAAGAGCGAAGTTACTTTATTATTTCAAAGTCTTAAATGTTAATATTGAATAAGGTACAATCTCGGTCAGTTGATATATCGATCAAGGACACTTTGTTTGGTTTTGGTTTGGTTTGGTTCACGGCGTACCAACACAATTTAGACCAACTGGCACCGAAGCAAGCAAATCATTTTTGCATACCATGGGTGTTTGAATTTTAAAAAACAAAATCAAAAATTTTTAAACCACCCCTTTTCAGAATGTAAAACTCCCAATTTTAACCCCTTTATCTCAGTTTACGATTTGAAGGGTTTTAGGGTGGGGTGCAATTCAACCGGGGTTTTAAAAAGGGAAAATTTTTTTATAAATCTTTCCTTTCTTTTGTTCCCAAAATAAAAATCAAAAACATTGCAAAAAAAAATTAAAAGTATTTTTTAGAAGTTTTTAAAAGTAATGTAATTTTAAAATTTTAAAACATATTTTTACCGAATTTTTAAATTTTAAAAAAAGAAAAAATATTGCAATTGAACAGAAAAATTTTTTTACATTGCAAAAGGAAAAAAAACGAAAAAAAGTGATTAACACGCAAAAAGTCGTTAATTGAAATAGGATGTAAATTATTACTTAAATCTTGATATTTATTCTACTGTTTTTAAAATTGTAAAATATTTTCCTCAAATTTGATTTTCATGAAATGTTTTGGATCATCTGAGCCATGCAGCTTAAAACCTTGTGCCAATTTTAATGATATATTATTAATCTAATTTATTAATTAACAATCACGTGGTCTTCTAGTTTCAGACAATGTTAGACAATACAAACCTACCATTATCACGTTCTAGTCCTTGTCAGTTTTCACAAAATTAATGTTAAATTATTTATATCATCACAACAACAATAACAACAACAACAACCAAAATTGACACTGTTGCACGATAAGGTGTTCTTGAAGGGCATATAATCCCTAAGAATTTAAAAAGTTTTCTTTTTTCAAAAGACAAGCATGAGTTTCATGAAGGATTATGAATGAGTTAACGTTTAATAATAAATTTATTGAACGAGTTGAATAAAATCATATTATGTTAGCCTTTGTCTAGCACAATATACACTCGTCATGAAGTTTTATTCAAGAGTTCAATAAATTTAGTGCAGTCAGTACGCACTACATCGGAATCCATTTTACTTACAAATTCAAATAAAGAAAGGGAATTGGTTGGAACCAAATCATATTATGTTAGCCTTTGGCTAGCACAATATACACTCGTCATGAAGTTTTATTCAAAAGTTCAATAAATTTAGTGCAGTCAGTACGCAATACATCGGAATCAATTTACTTACAAATTCAAATAAAGAAAGGGAATTGGTTGGAACCAAATGTTTTCAACGTTATTATAATCCTTTATAACGGAAAATTCGTATTCCGACTCCGACACAATAAAATTGGAAACCAAACGTGTTATTTTCTATAACAATATACAATTGTCATGAATATTTATTCAAGAGTTCAATAAATTTAGTACAAAGTATTGAAACTATGCGAATACAACATTCTATGTATCACATATAGACTGTTAAACTAAAGTAACTTTTCAACGACCAGGCTAACATAAGCGCTTTAACGTTATGTTTATACAATAACACAAATGACGTCACGTCAAAGTGATATTTCACTTTATAGTGTAATGTCGCTTTTATTCTCCTACGCTGTGGTTTATGTAATAATTATGTTTAAATAGTGTTTAGCATGTCAGTGGCTTATAAGATGAACAAAATAGTAGTGCTGAACGTGAAATTATTTGTTATTAAAGTAGCAAGATAGAAACAAAGTAATTTTTTACTTCCATACAAAATGCTTAATCTCTATAACTGTACTAATTTCTAGAAAGCAACAGAAGCAAAATATGATTCAGGTTATAAAGGAATGAGTAACTTTAAAAACAATAACAGGACACCAAATATAAAAAGCTCTTTCAGAAATATAATAAAAGCATTTCTGGGGCATAATAGGCAGTGTCGCCAGTATCAAGAAATGTCTTTTCAAGGGTCGCCAAATGCATCTTTTGCAGTCATAAAGCAATGTTATATGGAAATTTTCTAACATCAATGACATAGATTTTTCCCAAGTGCATTGTTGTTTAAATAGTGTCTATTAAATTAAATTATTTAAAGGGCAAATTATAAGCTGCTACCCAAATAAATGAGACTATATACAAAAAAGTTTACTGATTTGAAAACGAAGTGGTTTCGTTATCACGGGCATTTTTTTAAAGTTTTTGCATATCGTATGAAAATGTGTTTATGAAACGTTAAATTAAACAATTTCTTTCGTAAGAATTTTAGAATTGTATAGAAATAAACCGGATTAAAAGTGTTGTGTTGTATAACTTTTATAAATAGGCCTGTTTGTATTCGAAAATTATGGAAATATCAGCAGTTTCTCTTTATCCAGTACCACGAAACGTAAAAACAACTCATGAATATGTTTACCTGTTTATACTTTTAATATATGTTTGATAATTTTATCGTTTGAGATTGCTAAAAGAGACACGCCATTGCTTAAATCATGAGACTGATTACACCACTTTGTGTATGGACTTTCGCTCTTTTATTCGCGAGAATAACTTGTTTACAATCATGCAAACCTTTTCAGGTAAAGCCCGAACATCTAAACAAGCAATTACTTGGTTATAAACTGTTTGACATGAATGTCAAATCACATCACGAATGTGCTAAGGAATGCATGTTACTGGGAGCTTGTGTGTCTATCAATTTTATACCAAGCAACAAAACTTGTGAATTCAACTCAGTCGGGAGCGAGACAGCACTTTCATCAGATTTCAACAAAACAAAAGGAATAATTTTCTCTGATATTTCCGAATGGCCAAAGGTATGTGTTGTTCAAAAACTTGAAAAACTGTCTGAAAAGGTTCAAATCAATACGTTAATTGCAGAATCATCATCTAATAAAAATTAAAAAAAAATACTTTCACGAGGTTATCCATAATTAGCCACAATATAGTAATAGTGCGTTATTTATAAAGGCATACACTTGAGACTATTACCCGTCGAAATTAAAGAATTTCATCCGTTGGTCCCCAACCCTAAACAAATACTTGTATTGTATTAAAAAACGGCGTTCTTTATCATCCTTTAGAAAGAAAGGCTAAGTTTTATTCAGGGCTACCTTAAACGAAGGTCAAAGCCGACGGATCGTCATTAATGTTCTTTGGGGTTTTTTTAAATACTTTTGATCTTAAGATATCCTGATTTTTTAAAAAAAAAATTAAATTTAAAAAAAAAAAAAAAAAAAAAAAAATATATTATATTATTTTTGTCCCTCGAAATGGTTGTAACGCTACTTTTGTAATATTATATTTACTTTATTCTGATGTCACATCATGACGTATAAAAAAATATGCAATTGAAGATAGCAGAAAATAGTTTGATTCTGAGTGTAAACAAACCAAGCGATTGTACAGAAATGCATTAGTTATTTATAATGATACACACGTAGATGTAGACATGATCGAATTATGTAGATTTAAACAATTTTATAAAATTATTGTCAAAACGAACCAGCGAAAATATGAAAAGAATATCTTGATTTTCCAAGAGATATCTGTATAACTTCGTAATAAGAGAAACTGTATTAGCCATATTTTTTATGTTAATCATATACCTTATACTGAACAATAACGATAATGACAAAAACAAATCATATTGCAGTTTTATTGCTTTGACTTAATTTACAGAAATGCATTTGGTGGAAACTACTAAATTGGGTTGAATAGGAAAATGTTACGTATCATTTTTTTTACGAAATACGTACCAGTCATTAAAATCATGTGTTAAGATTTATAATAATTATTCTGATTATTTTGATATTTCAATAGGTCTAAGACAATGGAAGATAATTTCGCAAGTTATGTTTTCTTTATTTGAAGAAGACTTGGAACTGTTTTTACAAGATAGAACAGATTGTGTAGTAAACTTTCAAGATATTTGTTTAATATCATTGCTCTTTGCAGATGGCATGGTCATCTAAGGACTTACTCCACAAGACTTACAAAACTCTTTTAAAAAAAACTTTATGAATATTGTAATAAATGGGTCCTTGATGTAAATGTTCCAAAAAAACAGTGTTCAGAAAACGAGGCCGATTCATTTGTTTTATGCAAGTGAAGAAGTTGTCAATCATTTCAATTATTTAGGTATTACATTAAATGTACGCTGGGAATTTTATCTTAAACACAAAAAAATTGTGTGGAAAAGGATTAAAGGCAATGCATGTTCTTGTTTAAAATTAAAAAAAAATACAATACATAACCAAAATTAGCCTCAAAATTATGTGTAGCTTTTGTTCCATCCAATATTGCATACGGTTATGAAATATGGGGATTAACTTAATCAAAGCAACTAGAAACAGCACATTTGAAATTTTGTAAAACATTACTTACAATGTAGCTATATATGGGGAATTAGGAAGGTATCCTATTTATTAATAGATATGTACTGTTTTATAAATTATTGTTCTAAAATATGTAACAGCGGAAATTTGATCATTAAATCTATCGTTAACACTTCCATAGCTGATGCCAAAATGAATATGCCAAATAAGTTTTATTATGTTATATGTATGTAAGCCAAATTGGATTTTTAGAGGTATGGTACAATTTTCTTAATATCGATACTGTTAATTTCATTTCAACATTTAAGCAGAGACTGTTTGCTTGATTTGTGCAGGACTTAAAAGGAGTTATGGAGAGAAGAATTACACTATTCATTTTTAAAGCTATTGAAGAATCGTTTACTTTTTAACTATACTTAATAAGGTTACTTCAAAAAACGTTAGGACAGCTTTTGCAAAAGTACATATAGTCTTCGTATCCAAACTTGAAGATTTGATTATTATCAAAAAGGAAGAGATCAACGATATTGTTAAATCTGTAATTAAACATAATCGAAGATCAATAGCATTTTGCTTTTGTTTGTCCGCAATACAATGTAATTCGTAAAAAATATATAAGAAATTTTTTAGACACAAATCAAGAATGTATAAGTTTGTTACCCTTTCAAATAGTCAAAATATTCAGAAGTACTTTCGCTTAGCAAATGTATTTTCGGGGCTTTTTAAAGATCCTGTAACACATTTTTTTCATGGTTTTATTTCATAAATATGATGCTCAAATTAAGATTTGTCAATCTTGTAAGTTCAAATAAGCATTATTTATCAAGATAATACCCAATTTAACATTTGCGTAAATAAAGGGAGGTAATTAGAAATTTATTTTCTATAAATTCCAAGTCAAATTTTCCAAAAAGAAATAAATGCATGTGACTTATTGATTAAATATAATGTGCACAAATATTTGCAGCACACATTTTACATATATTCTTGGATGTTTGAAAATTGTTTTATTTGCATAATTATATACATATATAATATTTTGCAAGTGTATGATACATACAGTAACAATATCAATCACAAAACATACAGGATCTTTAAAAAAAAAATTGAAATTCTTTCAAATGTGCCAACGTAACTGTTTAAAGTATGGTAGTTCATTTACAATAATTTCATATTCACATTTCAATGATTCCTTTTAAAACTGAAATAGTTCCTATTTTCTATTTTAGTATCTAATGTAGATAAGTTTAATTTATTATCACATAATGCAAATACATGTGTTTTACCTTTTTTCTTTAACATGCAATTACATAATGCATTTTTTTTTCATTCTGTAACGTATAACGTATGCATATCGTTCAATATTGTATTATAATAAACATATGTTATTCATTGGTAAACATTACAAATTGTACAGTTAACGTGTAATAAAATCTGTTCTGTTCTATTTAAGAAATAGTATATCCAAAACTGTGATTTTATTGCTCAATAACATCACTGTTTGGAGTTCGGATGCGGGGAATTATATCACGAGGGCGTAGCCCGAGTGATATAATAATACGCATCCGAACGACAAACAGTGATGTTATCAAGCAATAAAATCACCGATTTAGATATATTATTTCGATTCTAACACGACATCAACAAATAAATACTGCCGTACCTGATATTTAGCTAATTTGCGCCTGATTTGTTACCGTACTTTTTGTCAGCGCGTCACATTTTTAGTGGTTACGTCACGTGTATAATGATTACGTCACATATCTAAATATAGAACGTCAAACAGTGATTTTATAGCATAATAACACACACTTTCGGTTCTTCTATGTTCAATAGGGAAAAATGTGGGTCGTGTTATAATATGGATTTTGGCTATTGTTTCAGGCCATGGTTAGAGGATGTGCCAACCATCAATGCAACAAAACTCAGCGTTGTCTACCTCTCGACTCTGACTCGTATAAATGCAAAAATATCAGTAAGTAAATTGCTAACATCCGAAACTGTAATGTGTTGTTAAAACTACCTCTACTATGAAATTAAAAGCCAATTATACCTCAGAAATGCTATAAATTGTGTGTCTCAAAAACTTGTTTTATGTGTTATGTAACAGTTTCTAATTTTTTTTTTCATATACATGAATCTTTTATTCTTTGAGCAACGGTATATTTATAACATAGTTATAAAAAAAAGTACTTTGTATGAAACTCAAAATTTTATTATGTGTACATTTTGCTAGCTTGGTGACACAGTACGGCATGTTGAGGTCTACTCTCTTCATTATTTAAACATGAATTATGCTCTAAATTCTTTATTGAAACATAATTAAACACCTGTTTGACATTTCTAAACAATAGTAAATATTGACTTCTGAGGAGTAATTTGTCTTGAAACAATATCGTATTAAATGAAAAACAACATTTTCGTTCATAAGTACAATTTGCATACTTCAGTTTTAGTGATGTTTAAAAAGTTTAAAACATTAGCAACTACATCTTATGCAGGTAAGGAGACTCTACATTATATATCAAGATATTATATTTGTAGTTTGACAACACATACGTGAAACAAAGTTGAATCAATAGAAACAAAAATAACTTACTGAAAAAATACGAATAATAACGAATGAACGATCGAACGAATGAATGAATGAACACTGTCCATTATTACACCATTTGACAATCACAATATAGTATTAGTAAATAAATTATAAAATGCATCAATTTCAGACTATGTTTTGTATGTACCCAACCCGAAACAAATAGATTTTATTGATTATAAGATGAAAACGATAATTTTATTCATCAATTCAAAAGGCAGTTGAAATACTTTATGATCTAATTCTTAATAATGTCTGATTTAAACACACAGCAGACTATGTAATTGTTGTCCTTTAAAATTGTGGTTGTAACACTGTAATTGCATTTTTCATTCTATTCTGTTATGCATGTTGTAAATTCCTTTCAGGTGTGCCAACTAAAAATGCGACAAACTCAGCGTTATCTCTCTGACTCGTATAAATGCGAAAATATCAGTAAAGAAATAACATTACATACATCCGAAACTGTAATGTGTTGTTACAATTACCTCTGCTATGGCATTTAGCAAAACTATACACATCATATACCGGTAACATAAAAATAGAACTTTCGGGCATAAAAACAATTCTCCTTCTTCAGTTTAAATGACGATTAAAATGTTTTAAACATTTTATTTAAATCTGCAAAATTCCACAATGTTCAGATCAAAGAGTTGAGGAACATGTCTCGGTCATTGCTGGCACTGTCTTTGCTTGTTTGAAATGTTTTTGGAATGAATTTTTTCCCGATAATCTTCGTTTTAGTATTTATTTTATATATTATATTTCTTGCATACTTCAAAAATATTCCCGAATAATCTTTTTAAATACACTATGTAATTAAGTTATTATTCTTTGATTTTAAGCGTGCAAAATTCCACGATACTCAGATCAAAGAGTTGAGGAACATGTCTCGGTCATTGCTGGCACTGTCTTTGCTTGTCCAGATAATATGTTTCTAAGTGGTGACAAGGACATAACGTGCAATGTGAATGGGGATTGGACAGAATCAGAAGCTACTTGCCAAGGTTTGCCTGGCCAATATTGATAATGCACTAGATACATGTAACAATAAAATAGTTTTTACTGAGCAATGATATTATACATGTACTTACTAAATTAGTTATTAAAGTTATCAATAGAGATATAAATGTTGATATTAAAGTTATCAAAACAGATATTAATGGTGATACTAGTATTTAAGTTATCAAAACATGTACATATATTATTGGTCATATTAAAGTTATCAAAACAGATATTATTGGTGATAGTAAAGTTTTTAAAATTATTATAATTATTGGTAAAATTAAAGTTATCAAAACAGAAATTATTGTTGAATTAAAGTTACCAAAACAGGTGTTATTGAAGATTATAAACTTATTCAAACTGATAATGGCGATATCAAAATTATAAAAACATATATTTTTGATGATATTAAAGTTATCAAAACAGATAATTTTGGTGATATTAAAGTAATCAAAACAGATAATTTTGGTGATATAAAAGTTGATTGTTCGGCGGCGTTTAAGTCCTATTGAATTTATTTGAAACATCATTTTGCTTAAACTCAACAACTAAAAGTTTGCAATACTTCAGAAGTTCATTCAGCTCAAAATTGGAACTATCCAGGCCAATATTTTTTAGCATTCTAGTAGCAGTTGACAATTAGAACATTAATTCAGAGTGGCATGTGAAATCGTCATAAAAAATGGATATTCGTCATCTACAAACCAAGATAACTAGTGTTCGAGGATGGCGGGGTGGGTGGGGTTAGTATATCGAGTTTATCGATGTCACACGTTTTTCCCATTTAATATCAAATAGCAGAGTAGAATTATACTTCGGGGTAAAACAGCAGAAACGAAACAAAAAGCAACTAATAAAAACTTGGTTTAACTTTTTTTTTATTTCATTTTAAGTATTAAAACTTAAATTATATATATTTCACTTTGTAGAACAAACAATTGGAAATGCATGTTTAGTAAACTCAGATTGTAAAGAGACCGGTGCACTGTGCAAAGAAAATCGATGTTACTGTAGCCGTTTCTATAGATACGATGCAGATGCCAAGAATTGTATCAAAGGTATTGCACAATACATTTTGTTTTTAATTTGATGCATTCAATGGAAAACTCCTCAAATTAATTTTTGTTATTTAAGTCTAAGTCAAGTATGCTGGCATTCATAAACGGACATCCATGATTAATAAAAGTGATAAAAATGTTAATGGTGTGGCCATGCATATCAATGTTGACAGTTCGGCCTTCAGTATCTGAAGATGGCTAGCTGGCATTGCGTCCGTCATGTTGTTCTTTATGTTAGCTTTTAAAGGCCATCACTAGTGACATGTCTTGGGTCTGTACTCTGTCGCAGATATAAAATAAATATGTGACAAGAGTATAGCTCTTTGGCATGTATCAATAACGATCTTAATATTGATAATTGAAAAAAAACATGTTTTGGACAAATGTTATAAATGTGTATCCTCTTTGTTTATTTAATTTTTATTTATTAATTTTTTTTTATTATTTCTTTATACTCTATTTACTTAAAGCAAATAAAAACAAAAGCGTATATTGCCACTCCTATGTGGTCCTCTTGTTTACAAGTAATATGAATTCAACATAATTATGTGATTGGCACATTCTTATCATTAAGTAATATTTATAAACATAAGTTAACTTAAACTTTGAGTCAAGATTAAGTTAATATCGTTACAAAGAGTTGTTTCGTAACAGGCAAAACCTTCGAAATTTATAAACATTTTGTAAAGAAACATTCAAAAGCCACTGAATTGAAAATGAAAAGCTAACTTTATAAGTGTTTCTTATATGCAATATTAAACTCAAAGAAAAAAACATCATCGTGTTTTGATTTTCAGTTTGCAGCGCCATGAACAGCACTTTTTCCGTCACAGATGGTGTATACATTCGAGACCGTAATGACCGTGGAATGGACAATAATACCAATTTTGATGAATGCTATAGACAGTGCTCTGAAGATGAAGATTGTCTGTCCTTTGAATGGTTTAAAGATCTCCTTCTGTGTCAAAGAAGCTCGTTTACAAAACAAATGGTAAAGGATGCAATACCAGAAGACATTGTACCCTACGACATTCATAAATCGTTATTTTACGAGAAAAACTGCTTCTAAAATACGCTAAAAACTTTTCTATATACATATATACATAGTTAGTAAAAACCCTTGTTAAGACCACCACGGAATTAAGACCACCTCTCCTTGAAAGATTAAGTATTGAAATTTTCTGTTCTTTGTTTCAATGGTAATTTAGACCAACACCGTTATCAATAAAATCATATTATGCGGCCATCTGGCGAGCATGATATTGTTTGATTCAACGAGTTCAATAAATTTAGTAATGAATCTACATGAGTATAATATTCCTTTTATCACATATCTAAAATTACAACTGTTCACAGTTACATGTAGAACCGGTACCGTTGGCCTAGTGGTTAAGGCGTCCGCCTTCGGATCGGGAGGTCGAAGGTTCGAGCCCCACGGGGAGCGTTAATTGAAGGATGAATGTTTCTCGTGGGACTCGTCCCGAAATGGCCGCTTCGTGAGCCGCGAGGTAGTTAAAATGAATGGTTACCGATTTCTATCCGCCTGGCGCCTGGCATAGTGGTAGGAATTGGGAGGTACATGGTATGCAACCAAAAGGTGTCTCATAAGTCAAAATGGCTGGCCCTTTCAGTAGGGGTTACACTATAATAAACAAGACCTTTTTGTACATAAGAGTGACCTTTCGTTTTTACATAAGAGTGACCTTTCGTTATTATATATTGTAATTTGTGTGATTAGTATTATTATTACTAAATGACCAGAATGGGCAGCTATAATAAATATAAAAGCCTTGATAAAATATCCACTAAAAACAAGTAAAGAGACCATTCTGGTTAGTCTAAAGTGGTTAAACTTATATTTAAATTGTATTTTAGAAGATGCAAAATCCCAAAACTAAAATACCATGAGATGTGCAACACAATGGAAAACATTACTATGAAATTAAACAATACATGTATATTAAACTGGCATTATCAAATAGACTAGTTTGCAAAAAAAACACTATATGCAAACATTGCCCTTTTCAAATGCATGTTCTTTTACCTTACTGGCAAAGTAAAAAAAACATACATGTATTACAACAGGTACATCCTGCCATTGCTTGATTATTGTTGTACGGTATGGGGAAAGCGCACAAACTCATACATCAATAAAGTAAATTCAATCCAAAAAAGGGCTGCCAAAATAATACTTAATAGACCGAAACATTCACCAACATTTGATATTTTTAATAAACATAAAGGCTTAAATTCAATTTTAGGGTGAGCACACAGCAATTATGGTGTACAAATCTTTAAACAATCTTGCACAGTTGTATATGAGTGAAATGTTTAGCTTTTCTCACAATGAAAATTACATAATTTACGCTCAATGAATCATAATGATTTTTTTCCGAAAACTTTACCTCATACTAATAATTTAATCATTTAAAGGATTCTTTTTCTTATTTTGGTATGAATGTTTGAAACCCTACTACCATCAAACAATGTTTGACTTTACAATATTTTAAAAGCATCTGTAAGAATTATTTTCTTATCTTACAATTACATACATGATGAAAATTGACCACTTTATATTGTAGCTGTTGTACGAATGTAAATGTTGTTGTTATTATCATTTTCTAATTATTATGAGATTTATCGATTATACTATGATTTATATGAGTGTTCAGTTGAATGAATGAAAAATATCTTACCTCTCATTTAAAGAATATATTCGAGTTATTTTATGTGTTACAAACAATAAATTGTGTAAAGTCTCTACAAGTATTTTGTCTTTGTTATTGTAAAACAAGAAAGGTTCTACTAAGTTATGTATGCATGTTCGTTATTTGTGTAAACGTTGTATGTTTACCTTCTCTTATAAAGTTTTACATTATCATTATCAATTTATACAAGTAGTAGTAGTAGAAGAAGTAGTTATTAGTATTAGTATACATTTTTTGTTAACACTACGAAAAAAACGTAAGTTTTGACACACTCAGAAAATCCTACCTATGTATACTTTTAAAAAACTTTAAATTCATATGTATACTATTGAACTTTATGTTTAAGCGATCATAATATTATTGCAAAATACGCCTTCATGCTTAATCCTGAAGAATTTTACTATAGGACAGGGGAGCACCCATATTCTACTGTTTGGTAAATATCTGTACAATTGATTTAAGCTTCTTTTAATTAATTGAACAGCGTGAAAAAGGACGGATAAACGGACGACCAAACAAAAGAAAATCTATATGTCATTGCCCAGTCTGTGTGTTGAGGTGTACTAATGGTAAACATACGTATCACTCTGCAAGCTGTTCCTGCTGTATTCAGTTTGTAACCAGCCAATAAACGTGTAGATCAATACACACTTTGTCATGTTTATAAACTTGAAAATGGTCTTTGGGTGAAATGGAAGACCATTTCATCCCTCAAGTCACTTTATTCCTAAAGTAACTGATGTACATTTATTATCCCAAAGTTCAAAGATTCCCAAGTCTTATTGTTTTGTAGGTTGTTTGTTTTGCAGATTATCTGTCTAGCATTGGCAGGTAACCTTGTTTCAAAATATCTGTTAAGAAGTAACTGATGGCAGTTTATAATATTGCAATAACTTTTACATGGATTTTTTTTAAAAAATTACATAATTTTGTTTTGGTATAGAAAATGGTTTTAAATCATTTCCGTCTATCACTTAACAGTTGCAATATTGAAATGCTGCATTTCTTTTAGTCTTCTTTTAAAATTCTCATTCCTAGACATTATCATATTTACGTCTTTATATCTTGTCAAATTTTTAGTAATTTGCCAGTAAAATATCGAATGCTTATTATCATCTGCTATCTTAGTAAATATATTCTGCTTTCAACACTTGAATGATGTATGACAATGCTAAAATTCTAGGTCAAATAATCTTGAAATTATTGAAATAATCATTCTCGAAGTATAAAGGCTTCTGTCATGTTATCATGTACAG